TTTTAGTATCTCTACATATGCTGATTATGTTGATTGTGATGTGGTAGCCATGCAAGCATGTTCCTTATTACTTGGTAGACCATGGCAATTTGATAAAAATTCTATAATCTTGTTCATAAGGATAAACATATTACTTTGCTTCCTATGTCTCCTGATTCCATTTTGAAAGATGATATTAATAGAGCTAATAAAGCAAAACAGGAGAAAAATAAGAGTAAAAATCAGATTGTGGCAAAAGAATTTGATTAACAAATGAAGCCTAATAATAAACCATCTAGTGTTGCTTCGGATATTAAATTGAAAAGTGCATGCTTATTTGCCACCAAATCTGATATTGACGAGGTAGTTTTCAGCAAATCTATTTGCTATGCTTTTGTGTGCAAAGAGGCATTATTTTCATTCGAGGACGTGCCTTCATCTTTGCCTCCTGATGTCACTAACATTTCACAGGAGTTCATTGACGTCTTTCCACAAGACGTGCCACCGGGTTTACTGCCTATTCGAGGGATTGAGCATTAGATTGACTTAATTTCCGGTGCTTCACTGCCAAATCGTGCGCCATACCGTAATAATACAAAGGAGATGAAGGAGATTGTGCGTCAAGTACAGGAGATTCTCGACAAAGGTTATATACGCGAATCCCTTAGTCCTTGTGCTGTTCCTATTATTCTAGTGCCGAAAAAGGATGGTAAATCGCATATGTGTGTTGATTGTAGAGACATTAATAATATTACTATTCGTTATCGTCATCCTATTCCAAGGCTAGATGATATGCTTGATGAATTCAGTGGCTCTACAATATGCTGCAAAGTTGATTTGCGTAGTGGATACCATCAAATTCGTATGAAATTGGGGGATGAATGGAAAACTAAGTTTGAATTATATGAGTGGTTAGTCATGCCTTTTGGGTTAACTAATGCACCTAGTACTTTCATGAGATTAATGAACGAAGTTTTACGTGCTTTCATTGGACGATTTGTGGTAGTCTATTTTGATGATATACTGATTTATAGCAGATCTTTGGAGGAACATTTGGAACATTTATGTGATGTTTTTATTGCTCTACGTGATGCACGTTTGTTTGGTAACCTTGGGAAGTATAATTTCCTGGATGAAAGCTCTATTTTCAAGAACATCATCTTCTGTAGTGTTGAATGGAGTACCTGGGAAAAAAATTTACATCAAAAGAGGAGTGAGACAGGGGGACCCATACTCTCCTTTAATATTTGTGCTTGCTGCTGACCTGTTGCAATCTATTCTTAACAAAGCAATGAGGTTAAATCTACTCTCTGCACCACTTCGAGTCAACTCTTGCCCTCACTTCCCAATAGTGCAATATGTAGATGACACTCTGGTGATTATGCAAGCAGATACTAGGCAGCTGTTCTGTCTGAAGGCCTTACTAAATACTTCTGCTTCTGCAATAGGGCTCAAAGTGAATTATGGGAAGTCATTCTTGGTTCCTTTAAAGATTTCTGAGGACAGGGTAGAATTTTTCACAAACACACTCCAATGGGCCAGAGGGCAATTCTCTTTCACTTACCTTGGTCTTCCATTGGGAATATAAAAACCAACTGTGGAACAATGTCTACCTCTTGTTAACAGGATTGCAAAGAGATTGGCATGTATTTCTATTTTCATGACTCAAGCAGGCAAATTGCTCCTTGTCAAATCAGTGCTCACATCTTTGTCAATCTTCTTCATGAGTTGTCTGGACATTCCTATAACAATAAATAAGCAGATTATAAAATACTTGAGGCACTGTATCTGGAGAGGCCCTGACATGGAGGACCGCAAACCTGCATTGGTGGCTTGGTACACTATGTGTAGGCCCAAGGAGCAGGGAGGTCTAGGTGTATTGGATATATACACACATAATAAACCCTGCTAATGAAGAATCTGCATAAATATTTCAACAGACATGACATACCTTGGGTCAACCTGATTTGTGAAACTTATTACAGTGATGGGAAATTACCAGGAGACAACATGGTAGGTTCTTTTTGGTGGAAATCAAACTTAGCTCTCATTGATAAATACAAAGCTATTGCTAGATGCAATGTGGGAGATGGTGTCAGTGCATTTTTTTTGGGATGATCTATGGCATCAGGCAGTACTCAAGCAAAAATTCCACCACTTATACTCCTTTCTAAGAAATCCACAGTTGAACATACAACAAGTGATGCTGACAGAATACCTTCAGGATCTTTTCTATCTACCACTGACAACAGAGGCATATGAGGAATTTTTACAAATGGAAGACATTTGCATCTCTACGAGACAATCTGAATTCTTGGACTCTTTGGACACCTGGAGTTACATTTGGGGGAATGAAGTCTATTCATCCATCAAAGCATATAAAGTTTTAATTGGACACAAGCAAACTCCTCCTCACTTCAACTGGATTTGGCAAAGCTCATCTTAGCCAACACAAAGTATTCTTTTGGCAACTGCTCCATGACAGAGTTAACACAAGAAATCGACTTAGAAGAAAGAGCTTTGTATTGGAGGCATACAACTGTGTAGTAAGAGGATGTCAGTAGGAAGAAACACTACATCATCTCTTCTGGGGATGTCCCTTTGTGCAACAATGCTGGGACTTTATATGTCCAACAAGAACACTAAACCTGTCCGTGTTAGAAGCATTCCAAGATCTCAAGGACAAAATAAATTACCCTTTTTACATGGAGATCATCATTCTTGGAGCACGGGCCATCTGGATAACCAGAAACAATAAGATTTTTGAAAACATTACACCATCTTTCCAAGGATGGAAGTTCATTTTCCTCTAGGAACTCAAGCTTCTAAGGTTCAGAATGAAGAAAAAGCATGAGAGACAATTCACTGTTTGGCTTGATGCCCTGTTGTAATTTTCCTTTCTTTTTGTAGCCTAGTTCTTTCCTTTTTCTCTTTTTCTCTTTTTTTCTTTCTTTTCTTTCTTTCTTTCTTTCTTTCTTTCTGAAGGCTTATCTCAAGCCTATATGACTACTTGTTACTTTGCTCTTTATTTATAAAAATTGCAGTGGGGTTTTACCCTACTGTTTATAGTAAAAAAAAACCATTTGTTAACATGATCACAAATACATCAAGACACTAATTATTATTGAAAGACAATAAAAACAACAAATATATTTGTCCATACCCATTTAAATAGGAGTATCGAGATTATTTTTTATTTGGTTCCATGAGAAAGTGTCAAGAAAAATCATTGTGTAGGCTCACAAAGGGAGTATTCGTCATCAATAGTGCGGTCATCTATTGTAGTGAGACAAATGAATGACATTAGAGTGTAGGATTGCCTGATTAGGTTTGTAAGAGAGGTACTTGGAAGTTAGTTATGGTGTGTGATGGGCTTGAGGTAGTGAAGGGATGTCGGTGCATAGGTATCATGGTGACAACCACGGAAAAGACGACCACCACCATACTGATAGCATGTCCATGAGAAAGGAGATTAGTAGAGGAGATGCAGATAGAATCTCCTTCCCTTCATTTTTTTTCTCATATTTTGGTCAAGAGTATTATTCTTACCTAAGGCAGTAAGGCTGATTGTGTTTACTACATTAGACATATATAACACATAAGTTGGCTTGTTGTACTTTGATGATGAATTTATCAAACTGTAAAATAGAGCAATGACTTTAAGGCCTAATGGTTACTTCTTAGTTGCATGCATAGTTGGTGCATAAGTGTAATTCCTAAATACATCTTGCTAGATGAAACCGATGGGAGTCAAAAAATGGACAGAAAACTTATAAAGGAGGACTTGGACTGGATTATTCTAAAAATACATCCTGCTGGGTATTGGACAGGTTAATACGATGACTACCCTATTATTTTCAACCTGTAGAAATTTCACTGGTTGCATCACTCAAAGTTGTATTGTTGTAATGCCATATACATTGCTTCGTGAATAGATTTAATTTGAGCATTTTAAATTTCAGATTCATACATAACTACCCCACTGCATGCAAACAAATCAAGAACAAAAATGCTTAGCATTAGCATTAGTCATAGGCCCATAGCCTCGTCTTGCTGCAAACCACGCAACTCCCACAGAATATGGGGCAGGAAGAAGGTGGCAGCATTGACAGCTCATGCCATGAGAGGTCAACAATTGAGTTACCATGGAGGCAGCCATGAACTAATTAATTACTTGCATACCTTAACTTCATATGCACAAAAAAAAAAGACTAAAATGGGCCCGCTAATATGACCTACTCACCCACTTATTAATTATTAATTATGTAATAAGATTTCTGTATATCAACATGGAACTATGGAGATCGGGTGATGACATATCTATTCCCTGGTATGTAATAACTAGTACATCATGTGGATGCATGCAACAAAACTGAACGAAAAGAAAAAAGGATGCTGGAATATTGATGAGAATAAGTATTGTGTGCCCCATGAATGCACACTCAAGCTAGTCTAAGAACATGACCGGCACTTAGCAAGTTAGCATACGTTGTGTCACTAAGGGTGAGGCCTACCATTGAGAGCATTTTATTAGCGTAAGTGTGATGTATACGCATGACGCCTCATCCTTGTACGACAAAGTGTTATTTTTGTGAAAGAGTGTGCTGGAAATCGGGAACATATGTCTTTGTTTGTTTATCATGGCGTAAACCAATCATAGGAGGTACTTGATTCCAGCCATGGAATTATCTCCTACAGTTCCGGACGAAAGCATCAATGCCTCCCACTTTCACAGCTGCTTGCGTGAGGGAAAGGAACATTTTGGACCAGGAGGCATCTTAATGGCATGAGCTCTTATTAATAGGACCATGGAGTTGCTACCGAGCCAACACACTAATGTAGCTGCCAGGTACAACGCACAAGCAAGCTTAGAGGAAGCAAGAGCGGAAGAGCCCCCTGTCTCCCGTCAGGTGATAAAAGGAGGAGATAACAAAGGTAGGTCGCTGCCCTGCTCGCTATCCATGTATACTACGTAGTTGTAATTGTGCTCAATCTGCTGATCTGTTGTACAATCAATTAGGATGGCCGACGCGGTACTGGGCAGCGTGACAAACGCTCTCGATATTGTGTTCAAGATCAAACATGCTGTGGATACAGTTAAACGGAATGAAAAGGAATGCCAAAAGATCAAGAGGCGTGTGGAGAGGGTCGGGCACACGCTCGCGTTGTGCCAAAAGGACGCGGAGCTAATGAACCCCGAGGGGAGCGGCACTGCACTGGAGGCGCTGCGTGAGATCCTCGCCGAGGCGCTCGAGCTCGTCACAGACTGCCAGGAAGAGACCAACATGTGTTGTCTCCTCATAAAGGCCGGGGAGATGTCCAAGCAGCTCAACCAGGTGGACCAGAGTATATCTTGTATAAACTCCGAGGTGTCGCTTGCCATCATGGTCTGCATTGCGCCGCGCACCAAGCCACTTGTACGTTAAGTTTTCCATGCATAGCACATAATCTTTTTATTGGTGTTTCTTTTGATTTTACCATGAATAATGCATATATAGCTGAAGGATGGTCACTGTCTAACAGAAACTCTACCAAGTACCGGATGGACAAGGCCGTTCGCTCCAATTGGTATTATGGGGTGAACCTTTTGTACATTCTACAAATTCTTACAATATTAATATTTATCTATATTATACTCCCTCCATCCCAAAGTAAGCATCACTGACTTAGTACAAGTTTGCACTAGAGTTGTACGGCGACACTTATTTTGGGATGGAGGGAGTAGGCGTTTTGGCCATATAATTCTTCTCTTGCATTATATAATTCTAAGCTTGCATCCCTTGGTTGCTCAGGATCAACAACTATAAAACCTATTTCTGCAAAAAAAAACCTACAAAACCTATGATATTTTAGTATATGAACTTTTAAATAATAATAATATCATTTAAAGACAATATTGGCATGTGGTTCATCAACCCTTTTTGAGTAAATGATCATAATAGCCTACCAAATGAAGCTTATCTGTTATTGAATTAACCCCTTAGTGTTTTATACAATCCATTAGCCTATCTCTACTATTTAACCATATTAGTGATAACACATGTCATTACTGTGAAGGACAAACGAACACGGAGTGTACCACATACAATTTCTGAAGTTGCCGTTGAGATAAAGGTAGCGTTGGACAAAGTTCAGAGGAACAAGGTAGAGTGCAATGAAATTGAAAAGCGTGTGAATGGAGTCAACGCCCTCCTTTCACAGTTTGGAAATACAGAACTCATGAAGGACCCATACATGAGGGCTTCAATAGAAAAGCTACATACAACCTTTTGCATTGCTCGCACACTCGTCATGGTTTGTCAGAAAAGAAATATCATTTTCATCCGATCTGGTTGGGAGTTGTCAAAACAGTTACATGAGGTACTAGAGAAAATTGATCTTGCCCTTGATGAGATGATCACCATCAGTTCTGGCTATGAATGTACAGTGTGACAAAGTGGCGTGCCCTCCATCCTAGCCTCTCAAGGTATTTTAATCTGCCTCAACCTCAGCTAGCCATAGTATATTCCACCACGTATATAGTTTGAAGGATCCAAATATGCAATTATCAATTTCGAGTGCAAAGATGACATGCAGTCGCAAGTTTTTTTTACCTGCGTGACATTTTCACTCCTGAAAAAATAGGTCGACAACGTCCGAGCTAGTTTGGCAACACAAAGTTTCATACCAGAGTAAATCATTATGTGATACTGATCATTTTGTACCTCCATTGAGCCGACATCATGATATAGAACCCCAAAAGTTCAGTATTCTGAAGCAATGCCAATAATACAATAGATAACATAAACATACTTTAATTAATTAAGTTGCTAAACACCCACTATAATAAAGGGCTACACAATTTGAGTTATAGTGAACTAGGGCATGATTTCATTAGTTTTGCTCATCAATGTCACTCATGCGAAAGGCATTCATTTTGGTTGAATTGCAGTGCAAAATTGAAGTAAATGATCATGATAAAAGGATGGTGGCCAAACCATGAATCGACTATGGAATCCAAGAATACTGCAATCTGTCTGAATAAAGTTGGATACTTGATGGTTGTATTAAACATATCAATGACTACCTACTTTGGCAACCAATAGTGGTTTCCATTAGCCCAGTCAGGTTCTTTATGAAGTTCATAATTAGGTCTCCAAGATTTTATCTATGAAGAAAAAATCCAGACACTCTATGTCTAGTTTATGTCCCCTCCATATATTATGGGGGGTTGTGTGAGAATAAAGGAGTGCTTCTGTTTATGTTGATATATCTATGACAATGTTACATATGAGTGTGTTACATACGCATGATGAAATGGTAAATCTAAATATTAGAACTTCTCATTCTTTAGTCTGTAGGCAAAGTTTTGGTGTTATCGCTACATTAAATGGGACAAAACTAGGAAAGACTTGTGTTCTTGATAATAGAATTTTATTTTAAAAGAATGAATTACTGCTATAAATTTTGGTAGATAAATGTTATTGTCAAGTTTCATGAAATAGTTATTACTTCTAGTGCTTCCTAAAAGATATATGTGCACTATTTAAAATTTGTACAATACCGTCGGCACATCGACCATTCTACCACTAGTATTTATTGATAGTAGCAATAAGGCAAAATTTGTCAATGTACAGTGAGGAGATTCTAACATTTAAGATCCCTAATCACATACATCAATTTAAATTTACTTGGTTGAGCACATAATTCGGGAAAGGATAAGGGAAAAATCACATCCTTATTTTTTATGGACAAGTCAGTATTTTTATCATAATATTTAAGTTCATATGTTCACCCTTGTGTGTGTAAAGTTATGGACCATATCATTTCATACCACTAAAAATATACCAACTACCAGAACAGTACCCTAAATTTAGGATAACCTTGTTAAAGTGATCAAAGGTTTTTTTAGAGAGCCTCATAACACTACAAAAAAAACACATCCGTGACATTATGGCCTGAACGAAAACTTTTTTTGTCATGGTTATGACACTTCTATAAAGAAAAATGTGACAAAAACTATTGGGAAACATAGCATGCAATTTCAAAAAATTTCCTACGCTCACGCAAGATATATGTAGGAGATACATAGCAACAAGAGGGGAAGAGTGTGTCTACATACCCTCGTAGACCGAAAGCGGAAGCGTTTGACAACGCGGTTAATGTAGTCGAACTTCTTATCGTTCCGACCGAGCAAGTACCGAATGTACGACACCTCCGAGTTCTGCACACGTTCAGCTCGATGACGTCCCTCGAACTCTTGATCCAGCAGAGTGTTGAGGAAGTAGATGAGTTCCATCAGCACGATGACGTGGTGACGGTGATGATGA